AATTGGAAGAGATTGGAAACTGATACAAACTGGGAAACCATTTCCTTCCCCAATTACAACAGATGGATCAGCTATTCAGATTTCAAGGTAATTCAAAACACTGAACGAAGATAGCTGACTGTCAGGTTTATTTAAATATGCACATAGACAACTGCGTCTCCAGAATGAACCAACTACCTGCAGCCAGTAACACCACAGTAAAATGGGATGCACATTTTGCACTAAGCAATAACAGTGGGAAGGCCACAGTCCCCAGCAAATTGGCAGCTGGCATTTAGAAAGTAGTGTGATACATAAACATAAAATATTATATCCTATTCATTTACATCAAATATGTGCTTAGTCAGTAGCTCTTATTTCCAGAATACTGTTATTTAAGCAAAATATCTGTCAGCTACTGCCCCAGAGCATATTTACTCCTCAAGCTGATCTTGAAATCGCAACTTCACATATCAGTGAGAAAATAAAGGAATTACTTTTTTGATACTCAGGCAGCTTGTGTAAAGACAATGAGTAGGCTGCTTTTTCTCTTTGTTAAAGTACTGCTGTTAACACAAAACTAAGGAGCTTGGTCAGTTCAACAGATGCAAAGAAACTGATGGCATCAGATGGGAAAACGGGTTCCTCTAAGTATTCCCTTTGAAAAAGATCTCTGACTTAAGTTACTGAGACTTTACCTTCCGAAGCTGTACTTGCTCTTTTCTGTGCAAGTGATGTTTTTGTGTCTTACTAATAAACCAATTAACTGATTACATCCTGTCAGAAGTTGAGTATTTTTAATGCTGAAGCTGCTGAATTTTAGAGGTATTGACAACAGATCAATACAACACTGTCAGGGAAAATTTCATTACAAGTACATCTAGAAAAGTTTGAAAACAGAAGACCTCAATCTGCAAGCTCTCTGTGTATGCAGTTCTCATTAGCTTAAAAAGTGCTGGGCACTAGGGGCTATCAGACTTGGGCTCAGCCTTGGTATAACCTTGTTTAAAGGTAGACTGGTGGTGGTTCTTCAAAAGAACACATACACAAAAAAAAAAAAAAAATACCCACAGAAAACTTTTCCTCTACAATGCAACACTAAGAGAATGAACCCAAATGACACAAGATTGAGAACAGAGCAGAAGCTCTGCTATATCTTCCCTAGACCATTGCTCAAGGGAATTCACTGCTATTACTTTTCAGCAGAGGCTTTACAAATTTAAGGTTGACATTAAATTTGGTCATGTTTGACCAACTTGATAAACTTCTACAAAGAAAATATTGGCTTGATAGATGAGGGGAAAGCAGTCCATATGTGGATTTCACTAAGGCTATTGATACTGTCTCCCATAAAATCCTCATAGACAAGCTGTTGAGGTACAGGTTGGATTAGTGGATGAGGAGGTGGACTGAAACTGGCTGAATGGCTGGGCCGAGAGAGTGGTGATTAGTGGCACAAAGCCTGGTTGGAGGCCAGTACCTAGTAGCGTACTCAAAGGGTCAATACTGCACCCAGTCCTGTTTAACATCTTCATTAATCACAGAATCATAGAATCATTCAGGTTGGAAAAGACCTTTAAGATCATCGAGTCCAACCGTTAACCTAGCACTGCCAAGTCCACCACTAAACCATGTCCCTAAGTGCCACATCTACACGTGTTCTAAACACCTCCAGGGGTGGTGACTCCACCACTTCCCTGGGCAGCCTGTTCCAGTGCTTGACAATCCTTTTGGTAAAGAAAGTTTCCCTACTATCCAATCTAAACTTCCTCTGGTACAACTTGAGGCCGTTTCCTCTCGTCCTATCACTTGTTACATGGGAGAAGAGACGGACCCCCACCTCACTACAAGCTCCTTTCAGGCAGTTGTAGAGAGCGATCAGGTCTCCCCTCAGCCTCCTCTTCTCCAGGCTAAACAACCCCAGTTCCCTCAGCCGCTCCTTACAAGACCTATTCTCCAGACCCTTCACCAGCTTCGTTGCCCTTCTCTGGACACGCTCCAGCACCTTGTAGTGAGAGGCTGAAAACTGCACACAGCATTCGAGGTGCAGCCTCACCAGTGCCAAGTACAGAGGCACGATCACCTCCCTACTGCTGCTGGCCATACTATTGCTGATACAGGCCAGGATGCTGTTTGCCTTCTTGGCCACCTAGGCAAACTGCTGGCTCATGTTCAGGTGTTTTTTGACTTAAAATGATCTGGATGACGCAGCAGACTTGCATCTCAGCAAGTTTGCATAGGTTACCAAACTGGGAGGAGTGGTTGATACACCAGAGAGTCATGCTGGCATCCAGAAGGACCTCAACAGAGTGAAGAAATGGGCTGACAGGAGCTTCATGAAGCTGAACAAGAGGAAATGCAAAGTCCTGCACCTGGGGAGGAACAACCCCAGGCACCAACATATGCTGAGGGACACCCAGCTGGAAAGCAGCTTGGCAGAAAAGGACTTGAAGGTCCTGGTGGACGCCAGGTTGAACATGAGCCAGCAATGGGCCCTTGCTGCAAAGAAGACCAGTGGTATCCTGGGCTGCACTAGGCGAAGAATTGCCAGCAGGTGAAGGGAGGCGATCCTTCCCCTCTGCTCAGCCCTGATGAGGCCACAGCTGAAGGACCGTGACCAGTGCTGGGCTCCTCAGTACAACAGAGACATAGACAGACTGGAGAGAGTCCAACAAAGGGCCACAAGCACATTCCTATGAGGAAAGGCTGAGAGCTGCGACTGTTCAGCCTGGTGAAGAGAAGGCTTCAGGAGGATCTTAGTAATGTCTATAAATACTGGAGGGAGGGTGCAAAGAGGACAGAGCCAGGCTCTTTTCAGTGGTGCCCAGTGCTGGGACCAGAGGCAATGGGC